AGCTCAGCAAGATGCAAGAGCCTGGAGAGAACAGGGCGCCATCTTCAAAAGGAGATGGCATCGTCCTCATAGATGACTAAAGCCACGCGCCAGCATAATGCTGGTCGTTGTCTTGTACACGCCGATGAATCTATGATGCTGTTTTGTTATGGACGAACCGTGTGGTCAAACTATGTGTGCTTTTTCTGGGTACTGCGCTCTGTGTGAGTGCTGCTAGCCGCCAAGTCGTCGCAAGATCTCCAATGAGGTGTGGCAGCTTTGATGGGGGCCTCGCGTCTCCGCAGGTAGCCTTGTTTTCGAAAGGTGATTCCGACATGCATGGTGCCCTTCATCTAAGTCAGCAGGGCAAGCTAAGATGTGCATCAGGCTACAGGAGTGCAAACCCAAGGCTCTTACATGTTGTCGGATGTTTGCCAATGCGCTCGGACGATGCTCCCGTGTATATGTGGTGGATAACTCATCGTGCCAGCTGGAAGCAGCATGTGAGAGGGAAGCAGAGCAAGGGAAAGATTCACAAGAGGAGGAGGACCGAAGACGGACGAGCAGAAGCACCATAGCAACAAGAACAAGAGAAACCCAGCAGGAACGGTAACGTGAGAAAGAGAGTGAGTGATAGTCAGAGTTGAGACTTTCGATAAAAGACAGAGCAAGGACAACTCGAAAGAGAAAGCCATATGCAAAGAAGAAGAAGAAGAGAGAGAGCGAGAGAGAGATAGAGAGAAAGACAGAAATAGAGAGAGCGAGAGAGCACTCGTCATGCCGAACCGAAAAGACTTGACGCCGGGAGCGGAGTTTTCGCTGACCAAGTGACTCGGTGCGCCCGAGCCGGGAAAAGTCTCCAGGATCGGGCTTGACGGCTTCTTGGAATTGTAAGGGCCTTAAACCCTAAACCCTGAACCGTAAGTTTATCCTTCGGCGGGTCTTCCTTCGACACATCAGGCTTAGTCTTGCCCCGGTTGGTGTTGCACCAAAGCGGGGGAGTCAGCACCTCTTCCTGCACGGTTTATCCCACCATCGCCGTAAGCTGCTGGCTTTGACGATGGTATTCGCTACTACAATGCCACTGCTATCAAGGTACGATGTTCACCAGCATGGTCAACGTGATGTTCGCATTACGCTTTAGGTTGATGTGCTTGTCATGCTTACGGTTCATCTCGTGCTGCACTTGATTTGTTCAATGTCGGTCTCTCTGTCTCTGTCTCTGTCTCTGTCTCTGTCTCTCTCTCTGTCTCTCTCTGTCTCTGTCTCTCTGTCTCTCTGTCTCTCTGTCTCTCTCTCTCTCTCTCTCCCTCTCTCCCCCCCTCCCTCCCTCCCTCCCTCCCTCCCCCTCTTTACATGCAGTTGTTGTCATGTTTGCAGTTGCCGTGTTGATGGTATGGTCCTTCACCATAGGGTTCATGGTGAAGAATGATGCTGCTCACGACCAACGGTGAAGCATTGTGAGCATGACGGCTAAGCTGGTGATGTTGTTAGCCGTGACGCCGGTGATGGCAATGACGATGATGGCGAAGATGATGTTGATGATGATGCCGGTGATGTCCGCAGTATGATGATGGTCGTGGTGGCATTTACGGCGGCTAGGACTACGATGTGCGAGAAGGATAGCTTCCGCTCAGGGCTTTTGCACGGTTTGCCGCGTGCTAAAGTTAAAGCTGTAGTGACTACCCCGGGGCCCCAAAGTAGTTCCTTTTTGGGTGTGTCCTCTTTTTTGCTTCGGGACTCTGATATACTACCCAGAAAGGAACTACTTTGGGGCCCCTGGGTAGTGACTAGCGACTGGCGGCTATGTGGCAGTGTCCCGCGCCTTCTCCAGCCTTTAGCTACACTGCAAGCCATCATGGTCGGCTCTGCACTGACTCCTTATTAGTATTATCATTATTATTATTATTAGTATTAGTATTATTATTATTATTAGTATTATTATTATTATTAGTATTAGTATTATTATTATTATTAGTATTATTATTATTATTAATATTATTATTATTATTATTATTATTATTATCGTTATTATTAATATTTTTGTCGTTATTATTATTATTATTATTAGTATTAGTATTAGTATTATTAGTATTATTATTATTATTATTCTTATTTTTATTATTATCATTATTATTAAATTTATTTATTTCATTATTATCATTATTATCATTATTAGTATTATTATTATTGTTGTTGTTATTACTATTATTATTATTATTATTATTATTGTTGTTTTTATTGTTATCATTATCATTATCATTACTATTGTTATTAGTATTATTGCTAGTTCACGCTTCAACTTCAAGCTCGTGTTCCGGTCTAGCTTGAAGCTTGGCCAGGCGTACTTGCCGCCCGGCTGAGGATCATTGAGGATAGTATCCTGTGGAGACCTGTTCCAGATTGGCAGACGGTTGAGGGTTTCATTGCAGTCTTTCATTTTCTTCGCGGGCAAGGTTTGGCTGTTCAGCGGCATGGTTCCATTTGAAGGGTGTCGCGACGTGCTGCACTAAGTCTCAGGCTCTCGACGTTGGTTAGTTTTACTCAGTTATAGCAAATCCCAAAAAGTTGGAAGCCGGATTGAGGACAATTAGTGCTGAGATTCCCGATACTTTACTCTTAAGGATTGAGGCTATTGGGTTTCCAACTTTTGGGCTTCTGCTCTATAGACCAAATCAGTAGAAGAACGGGCGCAGAATGCTGCATGCTACACAGGTCTCTGCATGCGTGGCCTCGTGCACATGTTGCCCAACGTTGGGGATTGCACGGACTGGGATCAACGTCTCGCCTGCATTTGTTTGTCTGTTGGCTTCTTGATAAGGTCGTTGTAAAGTCTGCGAAGCTTCAAGGGTCCAATAAAGTCACAGATGCCTGTCCATGAAAGCCTACACACCTCGCGCTGGCAGCTGCGATCCTCAGTTTCACTTTTGAAGCGCCGACCGGTGCAAGGTACAATAACAGTTTCTTTGCTTTGGAGCTCAGCCAAAGGGTGCTCCGAAAGATCTGCGCTTGTCAAATCCTGAGGTCGCATAAAACCGTGCAGTCTCTGTTGGCTGAAACCTCCGACTCTATCTATCTGTCTATCTTTGCCTATACACCGAAGCACCTCCAAACACGGACGCTTGTGACGACACTTCATAATGAATTACCTCAGAGTTCACTACCTCACGGTAAGGTGCCCCTGCGGCTGACGCTCGAGCAGTATTTGTACACAGGAAGTTCCGGAAGGCCTGCCGAGTTCCGACTTCAACCCGGACACGGCAGCACCGCAACGTATGCTACCTTAGTACCTTCGATTTAGTCACCCACAGCTACCTTAAGTAGACAGCTCAGCGGCCACTCATCCTATCAATGCCCTTGCCCATAGCCGACATAGCTCAGAAGCTCATCCCCCCTTGCAGCTCTGGGCCGGCCTTCCCTCAGAACAGGATATGAGAAGAGCGCACTCAAGGTGCTGCAGAGCAGGTAACACTGCGAACATAGTAAGCTGGCACATAGCCTAGGGCTGGCGCGAGAGGCTGCTTGAAGGTTTATGTGTGATTGCACGCAGGGGTTGTACGAAAAGGCACATTAGTTGTCACTGTACCTATACCCTATATACGGTCTATACCTGCTTACAGTCTCTATTTAGATAGTGTGGTTCGACGTTTAGGTGCTCATGAACCTCCGAGTAGATCCTTTTGCTTGCATGCCGGGCGTGGAAAATGCGCGGAAGCCCCGAAACTGTTCCTTCCGCGATGCTCATGTCTGCAGCGAGATCATCTGGCAGGAGGTTGAAGTTGTTCCTGTTTTCCATTTCCTTTACCGTTACCATCTCTTCGTTGATGTACCCTGCTCCCTTCTCCTTCTTCATATGGGTTCCTTCTCTCCCAGCTTCTGATTCATGTACCTCCCACCTATTTCTGGGATTGACTTCGCCGCGACGTCCAGGCTCCAAAAGCTGAACGCTTAGAGAAAAAGCCAGAAAGTTGGAATATCACTATCGTAGCCCCTTTAAGGTAAATTATAGGGGATCCTACCATTAATCCATATTCCAACTTTCTGGAGTTCCCTTTAGAGAAAAAGGAGCTTCCCGGCCCGAAGAGCCGCCCTGCTATGGGCCCCGAGCTTGGCCCATGGAGGCCACTGCTCTTGGGGCTCCCTTTACTTGGAGGTTCATGGGTAGTTATACTACTATTTGCTTAAGAACCACCAAAAAATAAAAAATAAAAAAATACCTTATGGGGTTAATATAGGTATTTTGATTTTTATTTTTTGGTGGTTTCTTAAGCAAATAGTAGGATAAGTAGGGTTATAAGTAGGGTAATTATACTTATAACCCATATTCGAGGACTTATAACCCTACTTCTAACTACCCATGAACGTCCAAGTAGGGTTTAGGGTTTAGGCCTTGGTCTGTTGATTCGGGCTTCGGCGAGCAGGTGCAGCGATTTCGGGTGGAGGGTTCGGGCTCGCCAAAGCATCCTTCAATTCTCCAGTGACCCGGATCAAGGAAGACGAAGACAGCGAAGACCCCTTATAGTAACCGTTAGCACTATTCTCATTATTAAGGCCCCGATATTATAGTACCCTTATGGTGCCCCTCATAGACCCCTTTGAAGGAACCCTATTGAATTCATTTAGGCCCCTACCTGAGCCAATGCCATGCCAGGCAGGGGCCCTGAAAGCACGAGACCCTGCCGGCGCCTTCCTCTCACTGATGGGCGATGCCGAGCTCGGGGCCCAGAGTGCTCCCCTTGGGATGCAGGGCGTACAAAAGGGGCCTCAAAGTAATAATTGCCAATACTTTTCACTTTTCACTTTACCGTCTGTGGCAACAGTGACTGTCGCAACGGAGCGAGAGGCCCTCCCCAAGTGCCTCCCTCGTTCGAGCTTACTCCAACACTGCACGCTCATGCACCACTGTTGGGCGCAACAGAGCTCGGGCCCCAACAGTACTGCCACTCGCCGAATCTCCGCAGGAGACCCACAGCGATGCGGCGTACTAGCGGCACCCACGTAACACCAAAACTGGCACCGTCTCACTTGCTACCGATTTCGGTGAGTTTGCCAACCAACGCCTGCAATTCACGAGACATGCCGCTTGCAGGTGCTTGACCCTTCTTCTCAACAGCTCCTGTCGCAACAACTCCTGCCGACACAGCCTCGAGCAGACCATGATGAGCAGGGCTTACCGCCAGGAACAACTTGAACTCACCTTTGTTGAACGCTTTCTTCAACTTGGCGATGTACACAACGTCCGCAATCATGTCTGGCGATGTCGTGGCCGCACGGTGGGAATCTATCACTGCCTTAGATGTACCATCCAACGTCTCTTGCTGAACAGCAACCTGTGTAAGAGCTGCCCACGCATATGCATGAACCTCGCCCTCTGGCAGTGAGCCTCCGGACGATCGCGCCATTTTGGCCTTCTCCAAGTAGCTTCCAACCTCTGCCTTCACTGTGCTGACAATGGGATTGGGCTCACGCACTACAAAGGTTTTGAAGACAGCACTTTGAAGCTCTCTGATCTCAAGCTCCTGTCGCAGCGTCATTTTGGAGACAAGCAATAAGGCTTTGCGCACAGTCTCGGCATCTTCTCCCGTAGAAAGTGCTCTCATCTTTGTTGGAGGCTGGTTGCCGTTGTCATTGGCCTGACGTCGTTGTGCAGTCCATGTGTCCATGCCTCCCATGATGGCACGTCTGGGTCTTGAAACACCTACTGTGAAGCTGTCAGAAATGCGCCCGAATGTGCGCAAACAGCTGCGACAAATCAGCACACTCATGATTGAGTCATCAGGCTCTTTCGGCTTGGTAACAACGACGCTTCCACAACGAGTGCCTTCAGGGCATGCTCCAGTGAGCAACCTATGTTTAATGTGTTTTCGCGTAGACACAATCGAGGCATGAACCATAAAGCGCCACGGACATTGGTTGACATGCGCAGCTTTGTAAGAATCATCCAACACGCCGTGATTGCTGAGTTTGCTTCTGAACTGGTGTAGCCGTAGATCACGCAAACATTTAAACTGCTGACCACACACTTGTCCGCTGTCAAGTAGAATATTGCATGTGTGTGCCAATGCTTGTGGCTCATCTGCGTCTTCACTGCCAGGTGTCGGGTCATGCACATAGCCGGGGGGTGGAATGCGAACCGATAGTTCCTCCGCGCGTAGCTCCGACACATCAACATGCACAAACTCTTCTGCCAGTTCAGAAAAGAAAGGTAGCACTTCTCCATTAGCCTAGTCAACAAGCCAATATGCAGAATCCAAGCAGCGTAAAGCTTGTATGTCTTCCCAATAGGTTTTTGCATAGGAGTTGGCATGGGTAGACAGCCCACCGTCTGGTTGTATTGTGGGCTCACCATCAAAGAACATAGTGCCGAAAATTGCGGTGATGACCTGATGATGTTTGTAGGGGTCACGGGCAAGACGTTGTAGAAATTTAAGTCTTCGGATGCGTAGTTCAACTCGTGAGGAAGCAATGCCCAGATATCTGAAAACTGCAGAGTTGGGAACACTACGATAATGGATTTCGCCATGCTCATCCTCGGTCTTCTCACAGGCAGTGCCGCGCATGAGACGCCTACCATATGCAGTAACAATGCGATCAAGCTTATCATACTGTCTACGGCCCAATACCAGAGCATCCACTCCCGCCAGAAGCACCTCATATACCATGCCGAGGAAAACTGATCTAAGCCCCCGCCGTGGAAGTTCCCTCCGATGCCACAGTCCTTTGAAAGTACACCACGAAGCATAAGCAGCTTTGGCCCGTTTCTCAATCTCCGGGCCGCATTGCCCATCAAAGCGTTGAAGTCCCCCCAAATACCGTGCTTCGGATACTGCTGTCCCATCCTGCATGCCATGTTGAGTGACATGTTTGGTGTAACGGCGGCTGTTTGTGCCCTTAAAAACGGTAATATGTTGCTGCTTGTCGACGTTTTGAGCCATGCTGGCTTTTGACAATTCCACATCAAGTATGGCGTTGCTTTGTTGCACGAGAACTGAAGCTGTCTGAGGTGATGATATGAGAATTTTTCGGCATACATCGTCCGCATATGCAGTGACGGCCAAATCCTGGTCTGACAAATCGAACGGTGAAAATGCCGTAATACGAAATGGAGGTCCCAATCGATGTAGCCGCGCATTCCAAGCATCCAAAATTGAGTGATACCCTTCAGCGAAAATGTCTCCGGCGATTGAATCTCCCTGAAGTGTGCCGCATTGCAGTGAAACCACCACTCTACCATCACTGGCTTCCACAACCATGGCAGTTTCACGAATGCGTTGCCGTAGAAGACTGCGATCTGCATCCTGGACCACCTTATCCGTTGCTGTTTGTAATTGCCAATACTGTTTTGTGGGGTCCTTATTGTTTTTTAGTATAATAATGGACCCCAAAACCGTATTCTAAGTAGTAAGGGCCCTGTAGTACGGCGTTCAGGATTTGGGCTCAAGGCTTCTTCTTCGCCGGAACCGGGAGTTGTCGCGTCCTCTTCGACGTGAATGCGAAGAAGATTTTGTGTGCCCGTGACTGTGATAAGTCCTTATGTCTTACTCACTTTCGAAAGACATGGTAAGATGCCCTGGGTCTTGACTAAAGTGTCTTCACAGGCTTCGCATAGCGCAGGAGGAGCTGCAGAGACTGTGGAGGACGGGTGAGTGCATCGTGGATACTACCAGCAGTCGGGCATGTGACGTCCCGAACCCTTTACCCCCAAATCTCAGAGCCTTTGGCGGAAAAGGTTCGTGGTTCCGAAGTAGCACCGGCTCCGCCGAAGCCCCGAGGTGGCTGAACTTATCTTACAGCATGAGCAGGCAAAGCTGCAGGCTATGCTGGTAGGACTCTAAGTTTTGCGAGCTTTCATCAGCCCGCAGGACCAGCCCGCTGAATCGCTACTTCATACCTATCTCGAAGCTGCCGCCAGTGGGCCGCCACACCCAGCTGCGGATGATGTTGCTGGGTGTCAGGATATCTTGTTGGGGGTTGCTGTTTTCCGGGACTTGGAGATGTCGAGTTGGTTCTCCTTCAATTTTAACGCTACGCCGCCCGCCTCGGCTCTTCAGGGCGCAGCAGGTTTGAAGCAGGAGGGGGAGGGGGGGGGGAGCGCGGGGGGGGAAAGGAAAACGAGGAAATCAGGGAAAGCAGCCTACAAATCAGGTAAAATGAAGGGAAGCCGGGCAAGGGGGTGGCAAACGCACGCAAAAAAACGGGTGTCTCCAAACTTTCGGACTGCAGAAACGATCAGGTGGAGGGTACCTGAGGTAATCCTCAAGACGCCTGCATGGGCCTGTGGCCTCGGCGGATTACGTGCCTTTTTCTGATGGGTACTCCGTTGGCGGGCGGTTCGTGTCAATGTGCATGCTATCACACTTGTGGTCTTGCTGTTGCCAGGCATTATGGCTACTGTCTGTTGTGATGTTGTTACCGCTGGTGCCGGTGCTGTTGCCGGTGCTGTTGCTGTTGCGATTGCTGTTGCTGCTGGTTCTGTTGATGTTGCTGCTGGTGCTGTTGCTCCTCCTGCCGCTGCTGCTGCTGGTGCTGGTCGGTGCTGGTGCTGTTGCTGTTGCTGTTTCTGCTGTTGTTGCTGCTGCAATTGCTGCCGCTGTTGCTGCTGTCGTCGCTGCCGCTGTTGCTGCTGTCGTCGCTCTCGCAGTTGCTGCTGCTGTTGCTGCTTCTGCTACTACAGTTGCCACTTCTAGAGTTCAATACTCCTGAAACCCGGAAGCGCTAAAACCCCAAACCGCAAAGCTCGAGACTTTAAAGCCTTATAACTTATAACCCGTGAAGCCCGAACCACTTAATGTACGAACCCGTGTGCCGTTTGCCTGAAATCTTCTATGCCCACCTGACACCTTATGAACCACACAAGCCCTTCGCCGTGCCCCTGCAGCCTGAAGTCCTTATGCTCTAAACCTTCAATCCCCAACTCCTGAAATTGCTTAATAAACCCTATGCCCCTAAACTCTAAACCCTAAACCCCTAAACCCATAAACCCTAAATCCCTAAACCCCTAAACCCTAAACCTCATGTCCATCTCTGCGCCGGCCAGGGCCCGACCCGAGATCAGACTCTAGCAGCCGGGTGCCGCGGTGCTATCCCAAAGCCAGCCGCTGGCTTTCTCCTGGAGCTTTGGGTGTGTTTGTTCGGTGTCGGTGTATAGTAGGGCTGCTTAGTGTAATTTGTTCGCGTTCAGGATCTCAGGTATCCGCTTTAACTTTCAGAGTTTAGGGATACGAACAGTGTAGAACGGGAGCACGTGAGTGAGTGAGTCACTGAGTCACTATCGCCCGAGGCACGTGTCCAGCCGAAGACACACGCCTAGCCCAACATACTGGCGGCACCGCAAGCACACAGGTTGAAAGTATCAGCCACAACAGCACGACAACAATACAACGACGACGCGATGGTCCGATTAAGCAGGAGGGTGCGTTTACTTCCGAGGAGAGCGACGGGTAGGGAAGTGCATACTCGAGTGCCTGCAGTGGCGCTTCTCCACGGATCCCTCTGCAGATACTTAAGTTGGGCTCGACCTGTATCAAGGATCCATGCATGTGCGGCCCCTCGTCGGGGCCTCTGAGAAATGACAAGAAACCTGACCTAACACTTCGGCCAACTTCCCCCGAGGAGGGGTTCATGTCAGTTTAGACTCAGTCTAGACACCTCGGGGAGGTGGTATTTGGGATCAGCTGTCTTGACACAGGGTAGAGACGCACAGCACAGCAAAACAGAAGTTTTGCGTCGGCCCGATGTATGCGATCGATCATGGAAAGAAGCGAAGCACTGTGCCCAATGCTCCGAGGTAGCACGTCCAGAGCAGGAAGGCACTTGGGTTTCACGGCCAGTCGCGTTGTCTGTTTCAGCAGAAGCTTAGTCTAACCAGTTGTGTGATTCGTGCAACTACGAGCTTCACGTTCCTTCTTATATGCCGCGAGCTGCTGCACGTCTTCCGCAGTTCCGACTTTTCAAAGCTGCTCAATCTCATGGAGCAAGGCCAGAAGCTTGCAGGATCCGACTCTACGGGAGAAGCACAGGACATGTGTCACCCAACAGGAACACGTACTCGCAGCTTGTAGCCTTTGACACCCTTGACCCTTAACCTCCATTTTGCTGTAGGTACCTGCAAGCCCGAGCCCTATACTTCGTCCCCTTGCCAAACTTCTCAAAGAGTCTACAGCAAACGGATTCCTCAGCGGAGTTTACTGATAATTCCCCGCCCGACCACACGCGCTAACTCTGCTGCGGTGGTGCTGCGGGATGCGCTGCCTTGAGCTCATGAGGGATCCTGGGTGTAGATTCCATGGACACCAGGTTGGGGATTCAATTGCTTCTCGGTAGCTCCCAATGAAGTTGTAGCGAGCTGATTCTGTCTGCACTGGGCACTGGAAGGAGAGAAAGTACTGCATACTACTGACTACATATACCAAAGCATGTCAGAATACAGGGTTTCTAACCATCGACTTGCGTCGTTTTTTTTCCGTGGGTAGAAATTGAATTCAATTTGTCCAGAACCTTAGTACATTCCAGCCGTTTCATCAGACATGCCTTTGTGCAGCAACGCCAAATCCCAAAACTGTTCTGGCGTTCAACATGCAGCTGTAACACAACCCAAAATCAGCCAACACAACAGGTCCTGAAGAATGGCTAGGTCATCTGTTGTCTGTGCAAGATGAGCCACTGTTCAACA